AGGCATATCAATTTTGGGTTTTTTTTAAATTTGTTAAATGAAATGGAAATTTTTCAGTCAGAGATTTGTACTTTTCTTTAGGGAAAAGATTGAAGAAATATACAAGCATAATTTAATGACAAATTATGAGAGATTAGCGTATTAAAACAGAAATAGTTTATGCATTTTTTTATTACATTGCTTATGAAAAGAGAATTCATTGTGCTACATCCCTTGAATCATTCATATAAGTACAAGTATTCTGTGCAGCAATATCTTTCTGTAAGATGGATAAAAATGTTGATTCATTTTGGTTTTTTTTTTCGTTTTCTTTAAATGATTTAACGGTGGAATTTAAAATATTTTAACATAAATACACTGATCCAGCACTGTTTTACTGCATTCGAACAGCAACTACTCCAGCCAGAAATATCTTTACAGACTCCGAGCCACACACAAATGTGGATATGGATGTGGTGGGGGATGGTGGGGATGCCCATATAAGAAGTTGTAGTACAACTCCAATGTTTATAGTATTTGTAGAATGCCGAGGGGCGAGTCTGCACGACAGCAAGGCGTACTACAAGATACAAGAGCCAGGCCAGGCCAGCCAGCCAGCCAGCAGCAGCAACAAAACTAACGCAACATGGAAGAAACCGGTTTGCGGTTCGGTTCGGTTTCCAGGCGCGCAGGCACACATATTCTGGCCCACGAGTGTGTGGTGTGTCGTGGTGTGTGTGTATATTCTGGCCCACGACTGTGTGGCGTGTGTGTGTGTGTGTGCGGCGCGAGTTTGTGGGTAAATCAAACAAGAAGACGAAGACATAACAAAAGAGCTTGCTGCTCTTCCCCGAAACTGAGGGAGGGGAGCGAGAGAGAGCAAGAAGACCTAACAAAAACATTGGAGCTGCTCTCCCAAACAGAGAGGAGCAAAAAGTTGGAAGAGAGAAGGACGATGCTCCACAGAACAGACAAATTATTCTCAAGGTAGATTCAATAGAACGTACCGGTATTCGCCCTCTTCGACTATTCTAGTCTACGACGGTCTAACCTTATCTCAAATATGCCTTGCCTCTGCTTCCACAACAGACAGGGAGAGAGAGAGTGAGAATAGCAGCTACAAGAGGACCAAAAGCGGAGGACAAAAGAGAGAACTACAAAAAGACCTTCGAGCAACATCCACACACTCGCACTCACAACACTACTACTACTTTTGGCTGCCTTTGCCTTCTTCGTGCTTTTCCATATTCTTGAACTTCAAAAAAGTACAACAAAAACAACAAAAAACACAGCATAAACCGTATCCACATGATTACCCAAGGCTGCAGACTGGATGAATACCCTTTACAGAGACCCTTTTAGTCTGGGAGTGTCTTTTTGTGAGCATAGTAATCTCTTGATGGGACTCCATTCTCTGAGATCTTATTGGAATTTAAAAAAAAACCCTAATAAAAAGGGCCCTGGTTACATATCTCCCCACAAACACAACCTACTCTCATACCCTACAACCAGTGGGCACAACAAAAAAAAAAGACGAGGAAACAAACAACAACAACGCAATGTTGTCGGCGGCGGCAGTCAAGCTGTCAGACAGCTACTGGTGTTAAACCCCGTAGTACATAGTAGTAAAAAATAAGGCAGAAAAAACAACAACAATTACTACTACTCCACGCACACTCACACATAAACATATCGGTATGTATTTTATATATATACCACGCTGCGTATACGCCATGTCTGGGCTCTGGGCTCCGAGCTCTGGGGCTCCACGGCTTCTTGCTGCCTTCGTCTTATCGAATGTTGTTCTTCCTCTTCTACCTCATCGTATTTCTTCTTGCGCTTTTGCTTTGGCTGCTTCTTTTCAATCGCACATTTGCAGCTAAATGCTCATTGCCTCCGATCATTATAATCATCATCGTCTGCTGGTAGGATTCATGGCAAAATTATATTCCATTCCTCAGTTTCCACTATCAAATTTCAATGGCAATCGAGAAAAAGCGCGTGAAACTTCATGGATTTGTAATGCCCTCTCTGAGAATTAATCGGAACTCACAATTACTGCACAAATCCCAAGAAAAACCTTCACATTTCGCTTGAGATAATGTCATAAAATCAGTGAACATAAATAAATAATTGGGAACATATTATCAAAAGCGTTGAACTTTTGGGGTTTTAGGGTACACTTCTCCTGCCTTTTATTTGATTTGTTTGATGTTTCTTTAAACTTAACTTAAATCACAAGTTACCAAATGTATTCCATATACATACATACATATGTACCCATCTACAAGCCAGACAGACATCTGTACACCATTCCATAGATCCCCATCCCTGCCAGCTTCTTCTTTGCTTTTTCTCAACTCTTCTTTTGGGCTCACATTCTTTGTAGTCACTGTGTAAGAGGGCTCCACAAAAAAAAACAGCAACAGCAACAACAACAACAACAAAAAACCTAAAGACCATCCATTACAAATGCTTTTCTTTTCATTTTCATGTTTATATTTCGATCTAGGGGCTCTGCTCTGGCTTTCTGCTTTTAATGCTCTCTACATGATCTTGTTTTTGTGTGTTCTGGGATTTAGGCAATTCCAACTTTTTGATGGATTGTTATTGAAGTTTATTTTTTATTGTTTGGGCTGTTTGTTGTTTTCTGGCAGTTTTTGTGGCTTATTTCAACTTTTTTAATGGTTTTTCCTCTGCCCCGAACAAAAGATCTAGAGATACAGATACGTTACAGCTTGTAAGATTTGTAAAAAAAAAGGAAAAAGATGATTTGTTCAAGGTTCTTACATGATGACTTTTTTTTGGGAATTATGCTCTGAGGGCAGGAGCTGAAGTTAATGACAAAATTTAATGGAAATTTACAAGGCCACAGAAGGGTTTATACCTTGTATGCCTATTGAGGTTTGCTTCCTCGTTAACCTCGTTTGATTTATGTCTCAACCATACAGTTTTCTCTCGGTGCATTGGCCTAATTGAGAAACTAGCTTCAACACCAAAATTGGCTCATTGTCCTGGCCATAAAAGGCACGCACCACACATACTCGTAAAAATCATAGAAGAAAAAACGTGCCGTGCCTCGCTTGCGTATAATGAAGTTAATAATAATAAAAATGAAGAAAAATAAAATAGCAACAGCAACAACATTTTGCCGCTAACGATAAACCAAATTTGTACAAATAAAATAAATTAATAAACAATCAACGTGCGAGCTTTTTTTCCATTACCATTCGTTTATTTATTTTGTATTTTTTTTTTTTGCTTCCAAAACGGGGGAACATGCCATACGACATCATCACAGGCCACAGAGCTATAGAGGTATAGGTATGAGTATTTTCCTGTGTATTTGTATGGGCGAAAGGAGGGGGTTTGCTTAATTCATAGAACTGCTCCATTACCGTACCGTTCTCTATTCTGTTCTGTAATTACCAACAACCGAGAATATTCTTGCCATTGTTAATTTATAACTATAGAAAACCGCAAAAATACACTCTGACACACCAACTCTGGCATGATGATGGAATGACAATAAAATGTATATAATTATTAACAAGTAGGAACGTTATAGTTCGGCTTTTATACTGTATATTTTGCCAGAATTGGATTTTGCAACAGCTGCGAACTATTTCCAAGAAAGATTCAGCCCATAGAATGAAGCTAAAGGCCCATCTGACCATCACCCTGAGATATCCAATACATACTCTGCTGCGTCTGATTTGGAAAAATATTCCCTTGCCAGTATCCTGCAATTGCAGGGTATAAAAAACACACCTTACTTCAGCACATGCAAAAACAAAAAGGAGAGGCGAATAAAACGGCGTTAAGAACTCTACATTACTCGTATGAATGTCAATTGAGCACGCGTTCTTGTTGCTTTACTCATATATGGTGGCTACATATACATATAAATATAGTATTACATACTGATGTACATATGTACATAGTAGTATGTATGTTTCCACATTTTGTTGCTTCTAGTGTTGTTGCCAAGTGCATTTTTAGTAATTTGCTGATAATTATCAACAAAACAAATGCGCGCTCCACGCACATTCAAATGTAAATCAGAGACTGCGAGAGACAGATAGAGAGGGAAAGAAAGAGGAACAGAGAAGGGAGAGCGAGAAATTGGGGCCGGGCAGGCAAGGCAGCAGAACCAGAAGCAAACGCAATGCAGCTCGTCTCGTGTGCGATGCAGTTGGTAGCGCTAATTACACAAGTGTATGTGTGAGAGAGAGAGAGAGAAATGTGCATGTGTGTTGTGGGGGAGAATGGGGGTTAATGGGAGAGTTCGGTCGGCAACAGTGGTTTACTTTAGAGTGCAGGCAGGAAGGCCGGGCAGAGGGGGGCACAGTGGGACACGCAGGCAAGGCACAAAACTCGAAATACAACAAAAGAACAACAAAGTCAATGTTTAACGAAAATTTCAGTAGCTGCTAGAATTTGAATTTGCATTTCAAACTTTTTTTTTGCAATTTAACATATCAATGATACAGACACTCACGCATCCATGTATTTTTTAAGGCCCATTGTTCAACTTTAGTTTTTGTGTTCCCCTTTTTTTTCCAGCTTTTTATGAACAATATGATGTGCAAATTATCCAACAAAATAGTATTGTTCCTAAAAGTTTTATGTAAATATAGTAGCAAAGAGAAAGAGAGAAAAAACCAAAGCAAAAGAGAGACAGAGATAGAGAGAGAGAGAGAGTGCGAGAAAAGCAAAACAAGAAAGGAGCGAGAAAAAAACAATAGCACGCTCTCAGCTTTGGTCACACTAAAACTCACAGAGAGAGAGTGGGAGAGCAGGCGCGTGCATTGGTATGTGTGACTGTTGTGAATGGAAAGACCAGCGCTGCCGACGCCGACGTCGCCGCCACTGCGGCTGCTTGCCAACAACGTAAAAGAGCAAGTGTACGAGGGAAGGGAGGGAGGGGAGAGGCAGGGCGAGCGCAAAATGAAATAAGAAATTTTCCAATTGGCAAGGGAGCGGGGGCGGGGGCGGCATGCAAGAATTTTAGCGCTTACCGTTTTTACTTATTGACGTAGGCGTCCCACCGTCTCCTGTGTGTGTGCCTGTGTTGGTTGGCTGATGTGTGCGTGTTTTTTGTCACTCGTTTTATTTTCGCTGGCTCTTTCCTCCTATTTTCCCCCTGCTCTTTCTGCTGGCGTTGTTTTTGTTATGCAAAAGGGCATAGAATATTTACTTTATTTTTTTTGTTATATACACGATAAAATCACAAAACACTTTCAAATTATTTAACTCTCTCTCTTATGGCCGCTGCTGCTGCACATGCAATAGAAATTTAAGTATATACATTAGGTATTTGGTGGATTTACAACTTTTTTTTTGTGGCAGGCAAGCCTTTGGGTCGCGTAAAACGGGGGGCAAAACCAAATGTGGACGCAGCGCGCACGACGACCGCGTAGCAAGCACGAAACGACGAAACGAACCGAAAAAACACTTTGCCGTGAAAAATTTTCATTCATTGAGGAAAATTGAAATGAGAGAGCAGAGCAGAGGAACCTTGCTTGTGACTCTCTCTCTCTCTCTCAGTGCGTGTGTTTGTGGATTCTCTCTCTCGAATAGTGTTGCCAACTCGGCACAAAAACGGCATGAATTTCAAAAAGTTGCATAATATATTTTAATGTTTTACAAATATCTTGCAGTTTTTTGTGTTACGTTGAGTAGATTTTTTGAAATTTAACAACTTTTCAAGTTAAAGCATGTTTAGCAGGTTGGCAACACTGGCACGAGCTCCACTTCGTTTCTGCGTGTGTGTGTCTTTATTTGCTGCTCTCTCTGCCACTCTCTCTCTCGGTCTTTCCTTCTCGCCTCACACGCGCTTTGGGTTTATTTTTTTGTTGTTTCTCTCATTAATTCAATATTTAACCAATATTTAGTTAGTATTTTCGTACTACACTTAATTAACCGTGAGTGTTTGATGCCCCAACACTGGGCCACACCACACACTTTTTCACTTGTTCTCACACACGCACGCACATGCTCTGCACTTGTGTTTGTGGGTATTTATTGTTTATTGTTGCTTTTGCCAGAGCAAACTTTTGTGTGTTGATACCCATTGAAAACCGCACCATTTATACAGGGTACTGATGCACTTGGAACGTTCTGGCACTTGATTTTGACCAACAATTTACAGCAAAACAAAAAATCAAACACGCACAAGCTCTACTTTGAATCGAAAATGTATTATTATGTTGATTTCCGCACAGTCGCAACCAAATGATTTTGCGGCAAGTTGTATTCTTCAATGTGCAGACGTACAATATTATAGTTTAGATACCGTGTTTGCCTAATCGCCGGAACAACGTTGCGCGTCCGTTATATATTGTTGTTAGGGGATCTTATCTATTAGTTATATTAGAGGTGTCAAACCATCGAGGGCACTATCGATAGTATCGATATTTTACTGCTAGCCTCTATTATCGACGGTTTTGCGACTATCATGATAGTATCGAGCTACAGTCGTTGCGCTTTTGATATGTTTGAATTGGCTGCTATAAAATACGAAGACAAATTGGTAAACAAATCGACAGGTGGCATGAAGTTTTTTAAAATGGACAAGTTCCTAAAAGGTTTCAATGGATTTTTAATAATTATTTGAACCCGATACTATCACAATAGTATCGATTGTTTTTTTCAAAACATTCAACGTTGATATTCCTCGATTTTGATATTCCGTTTTATATTACTAGCTAGTTGGTCCTCTCAGCCCTAAAAAAATTATTTTTTCCAATTCCTCAATGAATTTTGTTTAGGATTGGCTAGTTTTCAAACCTATTTTTAATGGGATTGCTTAGATAATAGGGTTCAAACAAAAACGGCCAAAGCATAAAACGTAAATGTTGACTAAATGTAACGTCATTGTTGCTGGTCAACCAAGTTTCTTTTACGCGTATGGAGATTTGTATACCTTATTTCCTTTAATTGATGTTAAATTTGTTGTTTCAGGCTGCGTTAAAACATTAATATTGCATTTTCGTTAGATTGAGTTATTTTTTACCTATCTATGCATATGTTTTGTGTTTTATTTATACATTTATCCCGGTTCTGATAGCTATTATTGGTACCCATGAGCTACAAAATTTCGTAAATATCTTTAAAACAGAGACTGAGTAGCTTCTGCATTAATTGGAGCCTGAAATTACAAACAACATCTCAAGTCCATAATATCCATTGTCCCAAGGTATGCAGATTGTTGCTCATTCCGTGCCAAAGTTGCACAACAATGCTGCTACTTCATTTCCACATGTTGCTGAATTTGTTCCCATAAAAATCAAATGTATCTTACGGGAACGCGTATGGAATGACGCAACAATGAATCTTCATTCCATAGGCGTTCCCGTAAGATACATGTTTCTCACACCACGAAAAGTCACCACGAAAGCGATCTCTTCACCACTGAAAAGAGAGCAAATTTTGAAACGCTCTCCGGAATCATTTCCGCGCAAGCATAAGGAGGTATGAGGTGTGAAGTATGACGTCACAAAATTCAGAGCTTTCAAGGAAAAAAACCACCTCACTACATAACTCGCCGTGGGGGATTTTGTGCTTTCGCGCACCCATGGTATATTTAGTCCGTCGGTGCTAGGGTGAGGTCCTTACGAGGCCCTTAAAAAAAGTTTGGCCATCTTAATACTGGGGCCATACCTTGCCAAGGCCCAGCACTCAAAACTCTCTCCCGACTCATTATTGCGTTAAATTGTGAGCCCCAAAATACCCCAGATATATACCGTAAATATACCGCACATATACTGTAGCCGTAGTTCCAAAAATGTCCTAAATACTGGTGCGCCACTGTGTTTGATGGGTTTGCAGCCGCAATCTCTGTTAACCAAACTTGCGCCAGAACAGCACTATGTGTGCTGGAGTTAACAGAGGAGGCACGGAATGCTAGATGGCGCTATTGTATGCGCGGTAAATTTGTATGTTTGTATGACCGTAAACTGAAATCAAAAAAATCAAGATTTTCAATGTGACCTTAAGCGAGACAAACAGAAACGTAAAATTGCGCGCACTAATTGAATAATTTTAATTCCATTAAATTACGCTCTTTTACGGACAAAATATGGCCCACACCTTATTTAGTACACAGAACGATTACGAATAAATAATTTCCACATAGTCCAAACAATTTCAAACGAAAAAACATTCATAACCAGATGCGTTCCGCCCCTCTGTTCAGAGGAGCAAAAATAAACAAAAAACTGCAAACATTCATCAAATTTTCGCTGGAACTTTAGGAATATAAAAACCGCGCTATGTGACCCCCGGTGCACCTGCTGCCGCAAAGCGACATAAATTACGCATACGTCGTGTTAGCCGTGGGAAAATATATTAATGTTTCCACCCACCCACTCACCAACACACACACACACCACACCACACCACACACATCAGCAGCAGCAGCAGTGGGAAAGAACAGCAACAATTTGTTGTACCTTCTGTTGCTGTTGCTATTATTGCCATAACTTTAGACTTTTATGAGCAGCCAGGTCTCAAGGAATCCCCCAACCAGCCAACTGCTTGCCACCACTCCTCTGATCATCAACTTGCAACATTTTTACACTCGAAAGTTTAATGAGGCGCAAAGTGCAAGTCGCGAAAATGAGGCAAAGGTCTCGAAAGTCCTTGTCGTTGTCGTCGTATATTAGATCCAATTAATTAATCGATGGGTGGCTGGGATTTGCTCTTGAGTGGCGCAAAGCAGAGTTATGATTATGATGAAATTACTTTCACTGCAACATTATTCAACAAAATTATTAAAGCTCAACAAAATAATAAAAATATATCATAAAAATTATAAAAATAATAAAAGTATGACAAAGATTTTGAAGAGGGTTTGAGCGGGCGTATGTACATATGTATGTATGTGGTTCTTTGTGGCATTTTGAAATAATAATCATAATTTGCTACACCTGTCGTCAAGTTTTTATGTGCCCCAGCGACTCTCTGGCAAAAAATGTAATTTGTAAAATTTCCACCTATAAAACATTTATAATAAAAAAGGCAGCCGGCAAGTGTCAAACGAAGACACCTCTAACATCCAAAGCCCTCCTGCAACTTTGCGAACCCATTTCCCTGCAACTTTCCCTGCCCATTTCCCCCTACCCCACTTTCCACTCGTGGACCAACACATATTTCGCATTTAGTTTGTAATAAAACAGAAAAACAAAAAAACATTAAAAACGAATATTCACTTGAAACCGACATTAGGGAAAATTGTGTGTTAAAGGGGAAGTTACAGGGGGGTTACAGGCGGGTTACTGCGGCAGGTTGGAGTTTTTCCTGTGGTAATTGTGATAGAGAACTTTTCTGCTTATTAGTTGGCATTTTTTTGTTTGTTAAATTATAAAAAAAATATAATTCAAGCGAGCGGATATCCTGTTAGCTAATTGGGGGTTCCAAATGGAAGGGGTCTTTGAACTGTCTTTTTGTACGAAAAAAAAGAGGGAAAAAAGTGTGTAGTGGAGTGTCGAAAAAACTGTCCATGCTATATCAAATTAAAAACAATTTAATTTCAGCTGAATAAAATCAATTAATAACAACAAAAAATATTGAAAAACAATGACAATGTTTCTACTCAACGCGAGTGCTCATCAAAATGTTTTAACCAATTTGAAGTGTGTTTAATTTTAAATTAATTATGCCTGCGAGCGCTGCTTTTGTCACAGCGCCTGACACACATGTGCAGAAACACGTACTTGTATGCTTACAAACACATTTTAAATAATGAAATTTGTGCATAAAACTTTCGCTTTGGTGAAAGGCAAAACGAAAAGCCAACAAACAACAAGAACAACAACATGAGAGGCAAAGAGGTTTTAGCGCTGATTGTCGAGGCTGTAGATACCCTAGAATATTGAGAAATTCTTTGGAAGAGAGAAGATATATTAAACAGATTTGTTTTTGGAAGAATTAACCCGAAACAAAATGTAATAATTAAACTTCAGAATCTTCTATACCCAGCATACCCTTGTTCATGGCGGGGTACTGATAGCAAGTAGAACAGCTCTGTTGCATGCAACACACATCAAGTAAAAGCAAACAGTGTGCAGGGGTCAGGGGGCTAGAGGTTTTGGTCTAGGACTGGGCTCCACAAAAGAGTTACAAAATGACCGGCGGGCACTTTGCCTTTTTTAGTTTTCTTTTTTTTGTAGAATTCTTTTTATTCTTTATTTTTCCTGGAGAGTTAATTGGAATAGTTTTGCGCCAAATATAAACAAGCTTCAAGTGCAGATAGTTAGTGGGGGGGGGGAGCGGTTAGTGCTGGTTGGGGGGTGGTTAGCAGCGGGGCGTGGTCGCTGGGGTGTGGTGGCTAGTGGAATGATGTTTGATGTTAAAGCTTTTGACCTGACCGAAAACTAAGCTCCATAATAGAAATTAATTCCCACAGAACCTTGAATTTTATGTGGAAACAAAAACTTAACAAAACTTTCTTTACTCTCACATACCTTTCTCTCTCACTCGCTCACACTCTTCTTGGCATATGCTGGGTGTGGTGGGGTGTGGTGGGGTATGGGCCATAAAATTTGATTTAATAACCACTGCTGCCTGGCCTCCGCTTGTTACCATAAAAATGTCAGCCATTAAAATGGCCCCAAAAACAAAAAGAAAAAACAAAAACAAATACAACCAAAATATGCACATAAACGAAAAGCATTTAAAATGAAATGAATCCTACAATCCCACGGGGCACAGGATCGGGTTCGGTTTCGGTTTCGGGGTTCGGACGGGTCTTAAGGTCTTTATTAGCCGTTTGGGCAGGCCATGGCACTTCCCAAAAGTACATAAGTTGTCCATAGAAAATTGACTTTTCTTGTGGAAATTCGTTTAATGACAAAGCTTTTCCAGCTTTGGGAGTCTGTTTTCGGGTCATTTATATTACCTTTATTTCGTTTTTAGTGACATATTATAGGGTAGGATAAGTATAATAATCAATGCTAGCACCTTCTGCATGACAAAGTGGATACCTTTCAATGAGGTGTTCCGATGCGGTCCGTCTTTATTTATCAAATTATTTCCTGGGTTTTTCCTATAAGCTGCAATATCTGTTGCTAAATTAGTTATACTTCCAGTAACCCCCTTTTCCCAACCAGAGAAAAAAACATACTTTGTTCGTCATTTATTTAATTATTTTTATTGTTTTTAGTTTTTATATTTTCGTTTATATTTCATTTTGCATATTTGTTATTTTTTGTTTTGTTTTCATATTAATTGTTTTCACTTAATTTAATTAGCTTTTATTTGTTATAAACTAGACGATTATAAATTTGCACTTAAATATACAAATATCATAATTTGTCTTTCATTTTTGTT